TAACGGTATAGTGAGGGTGATAGCGGCAAGTTTGGTTAAAAAGTCAAACTACACTAAGAGAGCACCCTGCGTTTCATTCCAAAGATACCACTGAATATATAGCGTTTAACCACCATTATTAGTTTTCATGCATTTTCTTTTAAAAAGAAAAACACTGAGCAATCTTTTCCTGCACGGTGTAACAAAGCAACAATTTTAATCCTATTGCATGGACGAAACATTGTCTAAACCTCGTGACTTGTTCATCGAGGTTGACTAACATTTTAGTTTTCTGGTTCTGTCATTTCCAAGTGTTTTTGGAGCATTTTGGAGATTTTTGCTCTGTTCATACTCAAGACTTAAAAACATACGCTTGTTAGCATTGCTGTTATCACCGTGGTCATATCAACATGCTGACATTAGTGTTTAAATGGTATACCTGCACAGCCTTGTAGACTGACCTGTTGTTCACTGACTAAAGGACACTAGAATTGATTATTTGCACATGCACCAACTGAACCTTTTCATCTTAAACATATATTAAATGACACGTCTATTCCAGGGATGGTATTTTGAATTATGTATTTATATATTTCATTTTATTATATACACTGTATATATTTACAAAAAAACGTATAAAGTGTTGAAACCATGGGGAACAGATAATTGAGGTTGTTTGTTTCCAAAGAGATGCATGCATCCCCCTTACCAAAACAGGCAGCAGCAGAGCCATGTAGCCACCACAGAAGATGGCGAAAAAGACTGCGTAGACCATCAGCAGCATGTAAGAAGTTGCCAGTGGGGAAAGCAGGTTGACCAAGCCACACAGGATCAGGTAGGCTTTGTGGAAATGGTACTTGTGGAAAAGATTCCTGTCTGTCACCCAGCCCGAGGCCAACTGGGCGATGGTCTCTGTGATACCTGTAACAGGCAAAGGTGGACAGACAACTGGATGAGAAAGATATATATTTATATGACTTGAAATTTTGATATAAATGTGTGTAGGGCCATTTTTGATCTGTGCATTTATACTGATGAATTCATTACAGCAGAGAGTGTTAACAATGACTAAAACGATTCACATTTTAGAATGTTGTGGTTGTAAAATAAAGGTAACACAGAAGTTTACTGCGCCTTGAGGCGACTGTTGTTGTGATTTGGCGCTATATAAATAAAATTGAATTGAATTGAAGTTTCTCTGGTTCACAAAGATCCAGTTGAAGATAGTTTTAAAAGCAACTCAGCCTCAAGGCACCCTTATTAAAATCCCTGCCAATTTACACATTTAACTAGTATGCAAACCTTGCATACATACGGGTGTGGCCACTTCTCAGGTAA